GTAGTATTTAGAAAGCAAGCAGGCATCAAGTATTGAATATGATGATGTTGTTGACTCATTTAAGTTTATTGAACCAAATGGAACTCTTAAATTGACTGTACACACTGTACAGGAGGTTGGATGGACTGTTAATCCTGATAGAAAACCAATGAAAGTTAGTACTTTTAATGAAGTATTCATTATAAGGATAATTCCTTTAGTTGCTTCAGTCAAGAGTTGACCTGTTCCCGTTAAATCCCTCTTATGCAACTTGTAGCGTGTCAGTGTATGCTGAAATTGGTGTTGCTAAAAAGCCACTTCATTGTCCAATTGATTTAATTGGAATAGATCCTGATACTACAATTTGCATTAACAGATCCCCACCTCCTTCATCATCAATGAGTTAGTGAACGAGAGTTGGTACAATTATAACTGATTATTATTGGTCTATAGGAGACAGTACTAGCTCAAGCTCCTCTACTGCTAGTATCAGTCAAACCAGGAGAGAGACTGAAGAAGGTATAGTTGATATTAACATAATAACACACTAATCAATGAATTTGTATCATTAATAGGTACATTTAGATCTGATATTGCTTATAGAGTAATGACAGAATGTACTGGAACAATAAAAGAAAGGCTCGACCTAAGTACTTGTTCACTGGTAGATAGGCTACTGGAGAAGAGGATAATAAATGAGAAGCAGAAGACTCAAATTACTGATCAGCACTGTGGATTGACTGCTGATCAAAGAATGGACAAGTTACTTAGTTTAGTTAAAGCATCCATTGAAGTGGACAGCCAAGTATTTCATTTGTTTGTAGAAATAATTAAACAAGAGAATACATTAATAACTGATAGACTTGCACAGACACTATTGGACTATTATAAAAGATTGTTGTAGATCTAATTTTTAATTTTGATACTAAAATTAATATTAATTAATTATTTTATCGATGCTTAATTGTCTACCTATTGTTGTTGCTGTTGTTGTTTTGCTTATTAATATTTTATTTTTGATTTCATAAGAGCAATTGCTTTTTAAAAATTACAATACAGCTAGGACAAAAAATGAAAGAAAGAAAAATGTAAAAATTCTTGAGTATCTCTTCATTGATGTATATGTCATAGCAACAGTCATTTTCCTCAGCAACGCTACTAATCTAGTTGTTAGAGTAATTCTTCTATAGAAAGTAGAAGGAGGAAGAGAGAGAGGATCAAGAGAGAAAGAATGGAATGACATCATGAGAAGTAACATGACTTACCCTCTTTGATGAAAAGGAGCATACATTGGGTACCCCATAAGAACACTAACAGTATACCATAACCTAATGATAACAATAAACAACGTATCATGTAATAAGTAAAAGAAAATGCACGTAGACATGTACATGTACAGTACATGGATACACATAGCCTTTGCTTTTTTCAAATTTGGCTCAGTTCTTTAAATTCTCGAATTCTTATAACTGGAAAATTATCAGCTCAAGTTTTCCACATAGCATAAGGGCATCAATATGTATCAGAAAATGTAATAAAAATTGGGGGTGATTTTGGAGCCATTTTTTACAAAAAAAGCATGGGCTATAGCCTTGGGTAATTTTCAAAAATTGGCCTATTTCTAAAAATGTTCATAATTCAAAAATTATTTGTTGGAAACGGTTCAAATTTTCTACACAGCATCAGGATATCAATATGTATCAGGAAATGTAATAAAAATTACATGTGATTTCGGAGCCATTTTTTACAAAAAAGCATGGGCTATTATAGCCTTGGGTATTTTTTAAAAATTGGCCTATTTCTAAAAATGCTCATAACTCAAAAATTATTTGTCGGAAACAGTTCAAATTTTCTACACAGCATCAGGACATCAATATGTATCAGGAAATGTAATAAAAACTTAGATGTGATTTTGAAGCCATTTTTTACAAAAAGCATGGGCTACAGCCTTGCATATTTTTCAAAAATTGGCTTATTTCTAAAAATGCTCATAACTCAAAAAATATTAGTCGGAAAGAGCTCAAATTATTAACAAAAATAACAAAATTAACAAAATATTAGGTCATACACATATATTTAACCTTTTATTAATAGACACATTAATATTCTTACTCTGGAGGTAGCATAGCTTTCATCATCACAACTTCCTTTCTCACCACACCTCCCCTCACTCCACCCACTCCTCATCCTTACCTACACAACATCACATGACTATCATCAAAAGTCACATCATCTCTCACTTGTATGGTCACAAGGGGATCTTGAGGGACGAGGGAGAGGTTGGCCGTCACATGTGGTCTCCTGGTTCTTCAATACAAGAGATACTAGAGGACCAATACTGTTCCTTTCTGGAGGATGTCAGGTCTCATTCATTTAATTAAGAGGAGGACATCAAAGAGAAGATAATGAAGAGACTCAAACCTTCCTAACATATAGGAGAGACTATAATAGAAAGAGAGGGAGGGAGAGATATACAATTAGAGAAAGGAAAGAAGGAAAGGAATAGAATGAGGGGGAGGAGGGAAGAAAAATAGAAAGAAGAAAGGGAAGAAAGAAAAGAAACAAGTAAAGAAATGAGAAAATGGAGAAAAAAATAAATATGTACATGGTGATAGGAAATGGTTCCTGTTCTTCTATGACTTTTTCTTCAAATTGTGTGTGCCACTGCTTAGGTACAGTTTTCATGGATTAGTAAAGTGTACGAATCAAGTTAGCAAATTAATAAGTTAACTACAATGAAGCAGCTAAAAGCAAGAAAAACAAAAAACATGCAGTACATGTACATGTATCATTAACTGAAAATGACTATAAATACACATGTACATGTACATGTATCAATTAATGGACAATGTTATGAAGACAAATTGAGGTAATACTGTCCATGCAGTATAGCTAATAGGAGGAGCACATGAAATAAAAGCTGAGATCCCTCCCCCTCTCTCTCTTACTCCGCCTCATTCTTTCAAGTTCTTTCAAGCAAAACTAAAAAGATTTTTTTTAATTTATAAAATTTAATACTCGACAAATAAGTACATGTATGCATGGAGAGAGATATACATGTACATATGGTAGAGAGTGGATACAATATTCACCTTGCAAATATTTTAGATAGTTTATCCAGTTTGATCACATTATTAGGTAGACATCTTAACTCATTGTACTGGACCTATAATAACAATAACACACATGTAAACATAATTATCAGTCTTTATACAAAAATAAACAACAAACTAAACTATAAACAAATCTACAACATTCAAGGGAGTTCTCTCAAACCATGCAGTATACCATGCTATTACAATTTAATTCATACATACATGTACACTAAACATGTATTATAATGATATTAAAAATCTTATATTTTCATTCTCACCTCAAGCGCTGACAATCAATTAAAGTTTTCAATATCTTCAGATATTTCTTTGATTTCGTTAGATGATAGATCCAGTCTAGTCAGTTCCACCTGGTCCCACCATCTC